TTTATTTTTTCCCTTTAAATAAATTCTGAATTCTGCTGATGAGGGCCCCCAGCAGGGAGGTATTTACCACAAGGCCAACAAGGCATTAGCCTAGGGCAGCATCTGTTAGGGGGGCAGCGCTGCCCCCTGAAAGAAGGGATGGAAGGTGGGACACACGCAGATTGGGGACCAGGCGGGTTCTGATCAGAGGCTGCGGGCTGCTTGATGGTGTATGCAGAGCCCGACTCTTGTTCCCAGGGATTTCCGGAGCTGTGAAGGTGAGTGTTTTATCCAGGGGTGGACTGACAACTCATGGGGCCCCTGGGCAATAGGGGATCATGGGGCCCCGTGTCCTTGCCTACACTCAAAGCACACCCAAAAAAGCTTATAAAAGATACCAGGGGCATTATCATGGGGCCCCTTAATGACCCTGGGTCCTCGGGCAGTGCCAGAGTGCTCAAATGGGCCCCTGGTTTTATCTCTCGCAGGGTCAGGGTGGGAGGGTGTTGCTGGGGTGTTGTTGGTCAATGTCAGGCTCTCTTTGTGGGGGAAGGGGGAGCCAATTGTTGTTGCCTAGGGCAGCACAATACCTAAATACACCACTGGCCCCCAGTGTTGTATGAAGTCGGGGGCCCCACTGTCCGCCTGTACCCCTCCCCCTCACCATGTGGACAGTTGATAGCAGGTTTCATAAACAGAGCTTATCTGCCCCGTATAATGACAATGATGGCGGTGTCACAGTTTCCAGAGAGCTCTTCGCTGGAACACGGAGTGTTTGTTTATGTGGTCAGCTATGTGATCTATCAGACGTAGAATCTCAGAACATGAAATGTGTGAGCCAGGCTCCTATGATGCGGCCTTATCTGAGCCAAACACCCTTCCTGTCCATCCGTCAGGAAGAGACGGAGTTTTCCAAACAATGAGCGGTTTTAACTCTTCCCAAAATATCCCGCCAGCGCCTGGCCTGCTTGGACGGGAGCAGGTGAGCGTGTACGGCGGTCTCCCTCCACAGTTGTTTGGGTATCACATGTAACTCCAAGCTATGTGTAATGTCGCTTGAGATTTGGAACTCATAAAGTCCCATTGTTGGACGTTGTCCAATTCTTGGGTTTCCTAAACATGGAAGCCACCAAATACCAATACAACAGGAACCACCATTCCCAGTTTCTAAATTCACAGCAGAGCCATCCTGGTGACCAGACTTCACTCTACTGTAGGGGAACAGTACAGCCTGGTCACCTCCCCGCCCCCCGGCCGGTGATTGGACAATGAAGGTGGAGAGGCACACTGATACGTTAAATCTTCTGGTCTCTCTGCTCTCATCTGGTGTCAGCATGTTCCTTCTCAGCTCATGTGCTAAAGATATTGGACACGTACACAAGATGGCCATCCCAACAGTTTGATGGCATCCTAACCAGATCATATATGGTTTCCAGTGGAGCCTGTAGAGAGGCTGTTCCCAAAATGGCTAGAAGGCCAAAGCAAAATGGGTTGCCTATGTTCTGTTCAACTGGAGGTCAGTGACACCTCATCTAAGACAGCGAGTGATCACCTGCACACCACACAACAGTTAACTCTCTGAGCTAGGCGTTGACAAAAAAAAAAATAAAGAATGTAAAAAACAAAAGGAAAAAATAATAAAACCCATGTTTTAAGATGAATACGAGCTTTATGATGGTCTGACATCTGTGTGCAACCAACATTGTCCCTCTACCTGAAATCTACAACAATAATGGCCAAAAAAGGGTTGCTTGAAGACGACCAAACTGGCAGATACAATTTCGGTGAAGGGCACGACTTCTAGAGGAGCTGAAAGATGCCCCATTGTTGGACCTTGTCATCCAAGTCTTGTGTAACGCCCTCCAGGTTAGTTAGATAGCAGTTTGGGGCCCTGTTATATTTTTAGTTAGAGGCTGAGCAGCAGCCTGGGATGAGTCAGCAGGAGTCCTGGGATGAGTCAGCAGGAGTTCACCTCAGGACAGGCTAGGGAGGTTCTGAAGGTCAGAGCTTCTGGATCCCTCCCACCTCTACAGAAGCCTGAGAGCTTTCTGGAGTATTTATGCAGGAGGGGAGGAAGCTCATATCTGCATACTTTAGGGACTTTGGCCAATTCCCTGGCAGGGGGCTGGGCATGGTGACCAAGGCAACCCTTAAATATCGCAGAGCCTGGGTGAAAGGGAGCAGTGTCGGGTGAAAGATGGAGTGAGGAGCTGGAGTGTGGAACCAGGGAGGAGGCCTACCTTCAGGCAGTGTGCTGGAAAAGAGGATCTCCACTGCTCCTCTTCTAGGAGGGACATCCTGAGCAGCAGGGAATGAACCATCCCAGTGAAAGCCCTGAAGTCAGTCACCAACCCACCAAGCTGATAGGGAAGGACAGTGTGAGTACTTACACCCCGTGGGTCGGATAAGGGGAGAGGGCAATCATGTGGAAAACCCAACTAGCTTCTCATGCTGTGCTAAATTGACAGTTTCTGGTGCCCCTTGCCCAGGGAATACCCTCAGCACGACTGGGTGAAGAGATTCAACTGGGGTCTGAGGAGGAACACCAGAGAGCTGGACTGCTCTTAAAGGAGAGACTATTTTGTCCACATCTGTACATAGTTGCAAAGGAGTTTGTCCTCAGGTTTGCAGTTTCCTTGGGCATCTCATACACCCCTCAACCCCATCCAAGTTCTAAACCCCTTAATAAAATTTTCAAAACCAAGCTCAAGGACTATTTACTGACTCTGAAGGCAACATGTGGAAGAAAATACGTGTTGCTTGCCTTTTCAGAGCTGAAGGGGGACCCAAAACTCAGTGACTCTTGAGGTGGTAGTGCTACACTTGTGTCCCAGTAGTAACATTCCCAGCTGTAGGATGGATCTCTCCCATGGGAAACCAACATTGTTCTAGAGCTTAATGTACATGTTTAATCCCCTAATCCCCTGAAGACTACAGATGGCAGTCATGCTTTCTCGGACACAATCTGCCATTGTCACAGAGGATGCAGAATAAAGTTTTCTCAACTGATGACTAGAACGGTTATCGTGGCCTGAGATCTACAGAGGAACTCTCAATCCTTTTCAACAGGAAGGTCCAAATGCTGCGAAGGATCCCAATAGAGGAAGTGATTCCATTCCTGGAGTGTGAGCTTTCTAGTACAGAACTCTGTTAGGACTTTGTACTAGAGCTTGACGTTAATGTACAATACAGGAGATGGTCACCCAAAAGGAAGCACCTTTCGAAGGAGTTAAAGTTTTATGAACATATCACCGAGAAAATGAGAAAAAGCTCAGCTCAGAGGGGCTGCAAACTGAACTTGCATACATTGGCCTCCTGCTGCCTCCTGAGATTTTTCCAGGCATTTGAAATGCTACATCTTCAGTCTACATATCAATACCTCCATGTCCTTGTTGCTGCGGTCTTATCTCAACTCAATCTACACTATATTGCCAAAAGTATTGGGATGCCGGCCTTTACACGCACATGAACGTTAATGGCAGCTCAATCTTCGTTTTAAGGGTTCAATATTGAGTTGGCCCCGCCTTTTGCAGCTATAACAGCTTCAACTCTTCTGGGAAGGCCCCCCACAAGGTTTAGGAGGGTGTCTATGGGAAGGTTGGACCATTCTTCCAGAAGCACATTTGTCAGGTCAGGCACTGATGTCGGGGGAGGAGGCCTGGCTCATAGTCTCCGCTCTAATTCATCCCAAAGGTGTTCTATGGGGTTGAGGTCAGGACTCTGTGCAGGACAGTCAAGGTCCTCCACCCCAAACTGGCTCCCCCATGTCTTTATGGACCTTGCTTTGAGCCCTGGTGTGCAGTCATGTTGGAACAGGAAGGGGCCATCCCCAAACTCTTCCCACAAAGTTGGGAGCATGAAATTGTCCAGAATATCGCCTTAAGAGTTCCCTTCACTGGAACAAGGGGGCCAAGCCCAGCCCCTGAAAACAACCCCACACCATAATCCCCCCTCCACCAAACTTTACACTTGGTACTAGTGGTGTAATTAGGTTTTTTGCTGCCCTAATCTACACAAAATGGCCCCACCGCCGGAGAGAGCCTGACACTGACCAACAACACTCCTGCCCCCCACCCGAGAGAGGCTTCCACTACCATCTCCCCCATAGACCGGACACTCCCTCTCAGCAAGAGAGAGACACTCACCTTCAGAGCTCTGGACATCCTCGGGAACGAGAGTCAAGCAGCCCGCAGCCTCTCTCAGATCCCACGTGGTCCCCAAGCCGCATGTGTCCCCTCTTCCATCCCTTCTTCCAGGAGGGTGGTGCTGCCCCCCAGAAAATGCCGCCCTAGGCAAAAGCCTTGTTTGCCTCTTGGTAAATACGCCCCTGCTTGGCACAATGCAGTCAGGCAAGTACCGTTCTCCTGGCAACCACCAAACTCACACACCTCCATCAGATTGCCAGACAGAGAAGCATGATTGGTCACTCCGGAGAACACGTCTCCACTGCTCTAGAGTCCAGTGGTGGCGTGCTTTACACCACGGCATCTGATGCTTTGCATTGCACTTGGTGATGCAAGGCTTGGATGCAGCTGCTCGGCCATGGAAACCCATTCCATGAAGCTCTCTACGCACTGTTGTTGGGCTCATCTGAAGGCCACACCAAGTTTGGAGGTCTTTAGCTATTGACTCTGCAGACAGTTGGTGACTTCTGCACACTGTGCGCTTCAGCATGCTCTGACTCCGCCCTGTCATGTGACGTGGCCTACCACTTGGTGGCTGAGTGGCTGTTGTTCCCAGTGGCTTCCACTTTGTTATTATCCCACTAACAGTTGAGCGTGGAATATTTAGTAGCCAGGAAATGTCACGGATGGACTTATTGCACAGGTGGCCACCTATCACGGGACCACGCTTGGAGTCACTGAGCTCCTGAGAGCGACCCATTCTTTCACCAATGTTTGTAGAAGCAGTCTGCATGCCTAGGGGCTTGATTGTATATACCTGTGTCCATGGAGGGGACTGGAACACCTGAATCACATGATTGGAGGGGATTGGAACACCTGAATCACATGATATGGAGGGGATTGGAACACCTGAATCACATGATATGGAGGGGATTGGAACACCTGAATCACATAATAGTGAGGGGATTGGAACATCCGAATCACATAATAGGGAGGTGATTGGAACACCTGAATCACATGATATGGAGGGGATTGGAACACCAGAATCACATGATTGGAGGGGATTGGAACACCTGAATCACATGATATGGAGGGGATTGGAACACCTGAATCACATGATATGGAGGGGACTGGAACACCTGAATCACATGATATGGAGGGGACTGGAACACCTGAATCACATGATATGGAGGGGATTGGAACACCTGAATCACATAATAGGGAAGGGATTGGAACACCTGAATCACATGATATGGAGGGGATTGTAACACCAGAATCACATGATTTGGAGGGCTGGCCTAATACTTTTGGCAATATAGTGTAATTTCAGACAAGTATGGTAGTTTTGTCACAAATGGAGAAGGGCTGGGCCCTCAGTCTACTTGGGTGACGGCCAGAAGTGGAAGTGGGAAGCATACATCTAGAAGAGTGGCGAATAAATCTTTTCACCTGTGTGGCAAAATTGTCTGTACTTGTATTGGAGCATTTCTGGGGTACACAACGATTCCCAAACATGATATCTATGTCCAGCTTATATTTACAACCCCAATAACCTGTATGAAGTGTAACCATCCCATGTGTTCTCTGTATAATGAAACAACTCTGTTGCTGTACAAGGAAAGCAGCCGACATCAAAGGCTCAACACATCGCACATCATATTCCTCACACAGTAGTTACAATAGTTCCCCGTCCATCTGCCTCTGGGATCAAGACCAACATTTCCAATACACTATGGAGAAGCCTTATATCGGTGTACTATCCAGCATGGCCATGACCTGTGTAACGGAACTCCCTGTGTCTGGTGTAGAAGACACGGTGCTCATATTCCATAAACCCCAATAAATAGAGTAGACTCTACCAACTCTCTGTATATCAGTAAGCCCCGTGTCCACTACATATGTGAGAGCTCCTTGTCCAACATATAATAAAACCATTCCATTCTACACCAGAACATCTGGCCAGAGTCTACCGGAGTACAATCCAAAGAGCAAGGACAAAGTCCATATCCAGGAGAAATGCAGCATGGTAATAATATCCAGGGCATGTGTCACCCACCATTTATATGATACATACTATGTACAGTATACAGTGTGCAAGGCCTATATTCAAGGCTATATCCAGGCCATGTAGTCCCCCCATAGTCAGCATATAAAGAAATAGACCAGGAGCAAAATCCAGTGGGGGAGCCATATATCCAAGCCATGAAGTCCCCTCATATTTAGTATATAATGGAAAAACCCCGTACAGTGTGCAGTCAGAGAGTTATACTGTATATCCAGGCCATACAATCCCCCTACATTCAGCAAACTATGGAACAGACCATGTGCAGTATACAATGGGGGTGCCATATATCCAGGCCATACAATCCCCCTACATTCAGCAAACTATGGAACAGACCAAGTGCAGTATACAATGGGGGTGCCATATATCAAGGCCATGCAGCTCCCCTATATTTAGTATGTAATGGATCAGACCACGTGCAGTATACAATGGGGGTGCCATATATCTAAGACCATGCAGCTCCCCTACATTTAGTATGTAATGGATCAGACCACGTGCAGTATACAATGGGGGTGCCATATATCAAGGCCATGCAGCTCCCCTATATTTAGTATGTAATGGATCAGACCACGTGCAGTATACAATGGGGGTGCCATATATCTAGGCCATGCAGCTCCCCTACATTTAGTATGTAATGGATCAGACCACGTGCAGTATACAATGGGGGTGCCATATATCTAGGCCATGCAGTCCTCTTATATTCAGTATAAAATGGCACAAACACTATACTGTGGTGGAGCTATATACCAAAGCCATTCAACCCCCCTCCCATGTTCACCATATCATGGAACACACCCTATACAGTAGGGGATCTACAGTATATATCCAGGTCATGAAGTCCCACCATATCCAGCAAGCTATTGAACAAAACATGTGCTGTATACAGTGGGGAGCGATATACCTAGGCCAAATGTCCCCCCACATTCAGAAAACTACTGAACAGACTATGTGCAATATACAAAGGGGGGGCTACCTATCTAGGCCATGCAGTCCCCTCTAAATTCTGTAATAAATGGAACAAACCATGTGTAACATGCAATGGGGGAGCTCATGCAGTCCCCTGTATTCCACATACAAGGGAACAGACCATGCACAGTATACATTGAGACAATCTTATTTCCAGTATACAAAACATTCACTTCCAGCATACAGATGTATGAGATGAACTGCATGCAAATAGACATCGGTGATCGCAAACATGAAATTTTTGTATCATTGCAGCGTTGTATCATTGCAGCGTTGCATTCATCTGTAGCATTGTATCATCATTGTATCATTGTATCACTGTAGCATTGTATCATTGTATCACTGCATTGTATCATTGTATCACTGCAGTAGTGTATCATTGTATCACAGTATCATTGTATCATCATTGTATCACTGCAGCAGTGTATCATTGTATCACAGTATCATTGTATCATTGTAGCATTGTATAATTGTATCATTGTATCATCATTGTATCACTGCAGCAGTGTATCATTGTATCATTGTATCACTGTATCATTGTATCATTGCAGCATTGCATCATTGTATCACAGTATCATTGTATCACAGTATCATTGTATCACTGTAGCATTGTATCATTGCAGCATTGCATCATTGTATCACAGTATCATTGTATCACTGCAGCAGTGTATCATTGTATCATTGTATCACTGTAGCATTGTATCATTGCAGCATTGCATCATTGTATCACAGTATCATTGTATCACAGTATCATTGTATCACAGTATCATTGTATCACTGTAGCATTGTATCATTGCAGCATTGCATCATTGTATCACAGTATCATTGTATCACTGCATCATTGTATCACTGCAGCATTGTATAATTGTATCATTGTATCACTGTAGCATTGTATCATTGCAGCATTGCATCATTGTATCACAGTATCATTGTATCACTTGCAGCATTTGTATCAATTGTATCATTGTATCATCATTGTATCACAGCAGTGTATCATTGTATCACACTGTAGCATTGTGTCATTGTATCATCATTGTATCACTGCAGCAGTGTATCATTGTATCACTGTATTGTATTGTATCATCATTGTATCACAGTATCATTGTATCACAGTATCATTGTATCACAGTATCATTGTATCACTGTATCATTGTATCACAGTATCATTGTATCACTGTATCATTGTATCACAGTATCATTGTAACATTGTAGTATTGCAGCATTGTAGTATTGCAGCATTGTATCATTGTATCATTGTATTATTGCAGCATTGTAGCGTTGTATCATTGTATCATTGCGTAATTGTATCATTGTATCATTGCAGCATTGTTAGTAGGAAATTTGATTCTCACCATGGTGGGGATCCAGTGCTGAACCATCGGCCTCTGTGTACTCGACTTCATGGTTCTGCTGGTTGTTTCCTGGAGGAAGATTTCAAAGTCAATGATGGAGACATAAGAAGGAGCCCTGATTTAGGTGGAGACCCCCTTATACTGAGCTCAGAGGTCACACAACACTGTCTATCTGATTACCTCAATAACAACATCAGGGTTAGGAAACCCCCGTCCTCTAATAGGATATTCAGATATGTTTATTAAACTGAAAATACTGTATATAACTTTCAATATTCATTGCTTCTCCACAATGCAGTGGTGCACAAAAACCCGTAAAGTAAGCCAAAAAAAATGCATGTGAACACACACAAAAATGCACTTAAGGGTGTGCTTTTGTCCACCCCCTCCTCTGGGCTCTCCCAAAAAAAGTCCCCCAGCTTCAGAGGAAGAAGGAACCTGAGGGCCACACATCCTCCCCCTAGCCTTCAGGATAGGCCCAAGCATCCACACCCTCCATCCAGTAACACAAAAGTGAAAAAGTGAAAAATGTGGAGAGAAAAATAAATGAAAATAGTTGCCGTGCAATGTGCACTGCCTGTCCCTGAGACCTGGTAACAAAAATAGCCAAAAACCCATGAAGGTGCAATGCAGAAAAGGTATTTAGAGCTGTATCCATGTGCCTTTTCACACTGTGGCATCCCACACCCAAGTGTTACAAAGAGCACCCCTGGGGGCGACCACTCCCAGGGGGCACAGACACCGCAGACTCTCAGCCCTCCCAACCCATGGTCAGACAAGGTAGACCCATTCAGATCAGGAGGAACTGGACCCCTCCAGTTTTCCTGAGGGATTTATTGCCTGTTAGCACCCCGGTTTCTCTTCCAGCCTGTACTAGCCTTCAGGGCCCCCATCATACCAGCAGGGATACTATACTGCCAGCCATCCCTTACCAAAAGGCTGGAATGATGGCGGAGCGCCCCTACTGGACACTGGTAAGAACAGATACTACACTTGATCTTGGCCAAAAGGCAGAGAAGCGACCCACAATTAATATGTCAGAAATCAGAAATAATATTACAAAACAAGTGAAATCGGTCAGTGAGCTACATCTGAGCTCTGTGTCACCCACTGCAAGCAGAATATAGAGAGCACCTCACAGGGTGACTGGGAAGGTACTTCCCCTCTCTGCTTCCTAACTCATATAACTTTCAGGACCGATGTCCATCTCTCTGGTGACCTGGAGAAATTTGTAGTGCCCTAATATAACATTAGGATTTAGCAAGGAGTCTGGGGTGGGTGTGTCTGGGAAATGCTCTTCACCATCTCACAATGGGGTTCCCACATCCCCAGTTTGTGGGGGCAGTACACCCATTGTGGAATGAAAAGCCCTAAGCAGGCCAGGTAACTCCATGCATGCGTCCCAAGGCTTTAGTTTCAGTTCTGGCCAGGATCCATCTTTTATAGCTGATAGGAGATGAAAGATTTGGAGGTTGTTGTACTAATAACCAGACTGACTTCCAAGTAGGAACTGGGCAAGTCCCTAAAATCAGATAAATTACATTCATACCGATGGTTTCTTCTGTGGTTTTCAGGATATGTAGCTCTTCTTCATTCTGTACACTGCCTGCAATCAAATAAAATGATGGTCATACAGAAGAGAAGTCCACATTCAACGTACAGCACAGAGAGCCAGGATTCCCACAATCTGTAGGGCTGTATGTTGACAAATGGTGGTTTCTGAAGAGGGAATTCTAAGCAGTAGGGCATCTATGAAGGCAAGGGCCCCAGTGCGGATTTTGGGTTCCCTTCTCCTTTGACACTAAGCAGTGTGTTCATAAAAGAAAATTGCAGAGCAATGTGTCCATTCAAACTGCATGTAAATTAATTCTGTGCAAATG